ATGACCCTGCCACTTCCTCGTTGGCTTCATGCAGGACGCTTGTTGTCACAAAGCCTCTCTGACCTGCACAACATATTTTTTGTTTCTTTTTCTTATCAGCTCATGTGATTAGCTCTGCTACAAGGAAAGAGGGAGAAAACATCTTCTTAAGTCCCTGTTGAGCCTGGTTTAGCAACACTGAGACTGTGATGCTATCAGTGCTTTGGTGGTTTTAGGTGATATCAGCCGGAACAATCAGCAAACGTCTCTTGTGAGCTCTTCTGCTTCTTTACCTCGCCTTTAAAACCAGAATATTTGCACATGCGACCTTTAATGGCAGCAAACTTCTACCTCACTTCTGCTCTCTCCTTTCATTGTCCTGCTGGCCGCTAAATCTCACTCTGGACTTTTATTCGAGTAGTGTTATGATTTTCTCGGTTAGTGATTTGCTCCAGATTTAGCTTAACATGAAACCTTGCCTGGTGCAGCTTTAACGGCCAGCTTTTTGCCCCATAATGTTTGTGTGTTCAGCGTTTCAGAACGAGTCGCCCTAATCCCCGAACACAACGCTGCAGATGGATCAATCCATGCAGTCATAAGCGGCATAATGCAGCTTTAAGGTGGCAGGATGTTTCTCTGGAGCCTCATCGCTGCATGTGTGTTCTCATTTGACTTTCCATCGGCGCCAATCATACGAGGGGGAAGGTGAGAGGTGGACAGGGATTAAGAGGTGAATCTCTAGGCAGCTTTCAGACAACATGAGCGTCAGACTACAGAATCCATACTGCCGAAGTCTAACCATGTGTAATGCTGCATCTTTGTCTGAAACACTTTAAGACATTTGCAGAATTTACAGCAAAAGGCTTTGAAAACAGGTTTTCTGTCTCTATGCACATTCTCGGTGTATGTGCCCTAAATCACAGCTGACCTTTAGGGAAACCTCGCTGTACAGTTAGGGTGCATTTTCCCTCTGAATTCCTTGTCTCCGCTCAAATATGCTGTCAGGTGATGGCCACAGTTCAACTTTTTGTTGTTGTGCAAATACCGAGATAATCAGAGCTTTGTAAGGAGGATTAAGGATAGATATTCTCCTGAGGCAGAAGCAAAAGAGGCAGCAGAATATGTGAAACAGTAGCCTAAGAGTTAAAAGTTTCATTACATTTACAGCAGAAAAATAAAGCCGGTCTGAATAATTTATCAGATTCTGGTTCGCGACAGAGGCAGACTTGAATTAGATTTAAATGAAAACTAAAGAAAATATGAACTATAAACTTACAAAAGTCCTGCTGTGGTCCTGTACAGTGTGACCATATACGTTTTTGAGATTACCGATTACTGTATTAATGAACAACAGCACAACAAAACAATGTGGCTGTGATATAAGGACATTTAATATGACTATCCTGCTGTATCCCATTTCAGCTCATATCATCATTAAGTATTGGAGTCTAAGGAGCTTGGAAAGAAAAACATCTGGATTTCTTTAAGTTGCTTGAAGATGTTTCACCTCTCATCCTTGAAGAAGCTTCTCGGATGAGAGGTGAAACATCTTCAAGCAACTTAAAGAAATCCAGATGTTTTTCTTTCCAAGCTCCTTAGACTACGATGACCTGGATGACTGAGAACCTTCACAGACATTAAGTATTGGAACATTTACTTCCACGCTGTAGAAGTACAAAACAAGTAGTAAACCATTTAAATGAGCTTTCATAATCCATCATTTCAGCAGCAGCCACACTTTGTTTCAGAAGTCATCAAATATTTTGGATACACCTGCAATCAAAACCTTTTCTTTTGTTTTATGCTCCGAGGTGTGGTTATGATTGCAGCAATGAATCTGCCAATAAAATTTCAGGTTTGTACCTGACACTGCAGCCAAGTGAGCGCACTGAGCGGGAAGATGCAGCCAAAGTATAGCACCACTTGACTGGATACCAGCATAATCCAAGCCCTCATAGTAAATCGCAAGCATCTGGCAACATGACGTGTCATTTGGAACACATGTGTGAAGCTTATGGGGACAAGTTTAAGTTTATAGACATCCTTTAAAGGTTGACCTTGATTTAGAAACAGTAAAAGTTCTAAACATGAGAAAGAGGTATCGAGAAATGCCATAAGGAGTATTTCTGGAGTTTGGTCTGCCCTTCAAGGACTCTGAGGAGGGGATGGTTTTGGCTCTTCAGCTTCTCAAGACACACACACACACACACACACACACACACACACACACACACACACACACACACACAGAAGCTATAGGCTTATCTGAGGGAGAAAAATGCTGATATTTCCCTCTGTATAAAATTATAGTCCGTGGAAATGCCGCAGGGCAGACAGTGGTGCGTTTGGTGTTCCCACCCTGAATGGCAGGCAGGACCACAAAGACGCCGGCAGACCAGGCATATAGAGGAACATACAAAAGCAGCAAGCAGGCTGTGTGTCTGTGAAGGTGTGTCCTAGAAACACGGTTCATTTTGTAGATTCATGGTTACATTTACTTTTTGTTGTTTTAAAAGTCCTGAATTGAGAAAATAACTTCACAAAAACTGTGATTATCTATGAAATAAACCCACAAGAAATATTCAAAGTAAAAGCTTCAGAGTGAAGATGAGTAAAGTTTAGAGCAAGAATAAAAAGAACAAAATGATCAGTGGAAGAATTAAAGGAAGAGACTGTCACCAGCAGAAAAATGCCTGCATTGTCCTTAAAACGTCAAAAAGACCTGTGTTTAGATTTTCACTCTGTGCAGCCTTTTGTGGTTGTGCAAATAATGACGTTAAAAACCTCTAACAAACCTTTCAGGATCGGGTGGAGACCGCAGTTTGAACCTTGGCTTCAAACAGCTGTCAACAGCGGCTTCTTTTAATTCTGCCTTTAGTCTGAAGACAAGTTCAGACAACGACTGGCACGGTGTGAAAGCCAGCGCTAATAAATCAACTAAAGCTTTTGTTCCACACAGAGAGTTTATCTAAATGATGAGAAATCACCATCCTGACAAAACACATGCAAACATCTGCCATCCATAGCAGAGGGCTTTGTCTGATCTTAGTATTTATGTGTTAAACATGTCAACCAGCCAGAAGTCAAGTCATGGAAAAACGCATTTCCCACTGCTGATGACAAAAGATAGAAAAGTCACCACTGACACTATGATGCTCGAGACTTTTTTAAGAAAATCCTTTTTCTTGTCTAAAAATAAAATGTTTCCACGTTGGATGTGTTACATCAGAAGGCGGCAGTAACGATATTATTGTTGATTTTATTTTCGTGGCCTCAAAGATGATTTTTTTGTTCATATACACAAAATTAATACTGTCCTCTTTTCTTCTTCTTTTGGCTGCTCATGTAGGGGTCGCTACAGGGCCCCTGTGTCTCGATCTCACCCTGTCGCCGGCATCTTCCTCTGCCACAGCAGTCCTCTGCATGTCCTCCCTCACTGCATCCATGAACCTTCTCTGTGTCAGTAAACCCACTGTCTTTCCCCAGTTGTTGTTAAACAAGGCCTTGATCAATCCAATATGGAAATCTCATTCTTGATGATCAGCATATTCAGTTTCACAAAGATGTTCCAGCAAAATCGCTTCCTGATGCGTTTCTGCCTCCACATTAATCTTGCTCACGACCAGCTCTAAGCTCACATGCTTGGCTTCATCATCAACGGAGTTTGTTTATATGGTTTGGATTAAATCAAACCAGTGGAAACAGTCCTTGCTGTATATTGCAAGGATACAGTGCAGACACGGCTCATTAATGCTGAGTAACTAACTAATAAAATCCAAATCTGAGGCACAGACATCCTGGAGGGTCTCTATTAGTAAAATAACCTTATAACAAATTATAATATTAAAAAAAAGACTAAAAAGAGCAGAAAGGGAAATTATTACATAAAATTTATTCAAAGCCCAATCCACACTTTAAACCTAAATGTAATTTAAGCACACGAGTCATTAAAACTCACCTGCTGCACAAATGCCACAAAGGGAGAAGCTGTCACCAAAGATCAAAACCTTTCTTGTAGCTGGCTGTAAACATGTTTATTTCTCCTCTAATGTTGGACATTTTAATATGGGAGTCGATGGGCACTGACTCGCTTTTGGCAGCAGCCTTAAGTGGACATTCAAGGAAGTGCAGTTTTTTAAGTGTCTATTTTAAAAAGTTTTTTAAAAGATGATGACGAAATAAAAAAGTGCACCTTCAGTAAATTCTCTCAAATCTAAATCTGACAAAATCCTAAAAAGTCAACAATGAAAATCACAGAACTCGAGCTGAACACCAAATCTGGTTTTGCATAATAACCATCAGTACATTGAGCCCTTAATGCAAACACACAGAGGCACTAATATACATACAATACAGATCACACGGAGCGTTCCAAGTTCATACATTAATATTTGAATCCATATCATGGAATCACATGAACCATCTGTGTGGATAAATGCATTGTCGTGTGTTTGATAGCGATGATTTTCTTTGCAGACGTCACTTCGTTGCCCACCCCTCCATCTGCTCCGGACCTGGAATATAATCCAGATTAATGCATTCGAACCCCCGCGACTCACACATCTACACACGCTCATTATGTTCTGGAAACACACACAGACACATGCACAGTTGCATCTGAGAGAGCACATTGAGTCCTACTGTATTTCCAAAGCTCTCACACACACAGACACACACGGATGCTGGTGTTGCTGCACGATGGTGATATCTGGGTCAGTGCTGGGGTAATATTTTGTTTTTATCACATCCGTTGTTTGTGTGACCCAATGGCCATCATCACATCAAACCACAGCGAGCGAGGAGTGATTTTTCTCTGTTAGGCGATGTGTGAGGGAACGGATTAAATCATCAGGGATCAGAGATGAAATGAGGAGTGCCTTTGTCTCTTTGGCTATGTGTGTGTGTGTGGTTGTGCGTGGGTGTGTTGTGTGTGTGTCGTGTGTGTGTGGTGTGCGCCTGGTGTAGTCGAAGCCTGTCTACTGGCGAAGTCGTGCTCTTCAATCCTTCAGCAGTTGTTCACTTTTTTATTAGTAAAGTTTTGGTGCTGTCCTGCCTCTTCAGCTTGTAGTCAATACGTCTGCAGAGAGAACACACACAGAGACGTAAACACACACACACATAGACACACATCATGTTGAGTGATTAGTTATGTCCTTGAATTAATTGCACATTTTGATTAGAAAAAAAATATGCAATTTGTAGTTTTCTTCCTACTCTTTGTTCTTCCCATCATGCAGTTCTCTCTAGCCCTGCTAAAACCAAAACCTTAATCAAAGGCATGTCCGGGCTTCATGAAAAAATAACACACGTGCACACACACACACATGTTCGCAAATATTCCCCATCTAACTAAAACACAAAGCATTTTATTATGTTCCAAAACATCCTCGATGCTACTGCAGGCCTGATAAACACAGCTGCTGAGAGTCAACAGTCAAACACAGATAATGAGCATTTTCAGCTGCATGGACCATTAGAGGTGGCTTCTTGGCCTTCACGGAGAAGTCAGGACTAATCCTCCATACAATTATAACACACATTATAATATAAAAGGCTTAAAATGTTTACAGTACATGGCAAAAACAACAGGGCTCAGTTTAGTATCCAAAGTGAGGTTTATTATTTCAATTTTGTTTTTATTGTTCTAAAGTCTTTTTATTATTAGTTTCAGTATTATTTGAATTCATTTGTTATTATTATAATATTAGAATCAGATTCAGAAAGATTTTATTTATCCCCAAGGGGCAATTAACATAAAACAGAGCAGCATAGTGTTGACGATAAGGACAATAAGAACAGGCAATGAGAGTGAGATAATAAATACACAGAATATACAGTTTTAAAATTAAAGTGACTGAAAGGTGAATAAAGTGTCGGTAGTATAAAAAGAGTGTAGAGTAGTTTAGAATTTAAACTACAACATATATAATACTAAACTACATATATCATAATATGAATTGCATTATGGTAAAAAAAAAAAATCTAATAACACATAAAATAATATATAAAAATTGAAAACACTCACAGTTAGTTTTGTCTGGACACACCTTAGGCTACTTTCGAATCACCATTTAAGCCATCAAGCATGGATCCGGACTGTGATAATCAAATTAAAATTTACAATAAAAACCTATTGTTTATCATGCTAAGACAGCAAGGATAAACAAAACTTCTACAGCTGCTACATCAACACTAATACTCATATAATTGAGCCCGGTCCAGTAAGCGATCGTTACTTCCACCTGCAGAAATGTGTATTTATCAGTGTGGTTCAGCTGTTCGAGGACAGCAGGATGAGGGGAGACCAGAGCAGAACAGCTGTGACACCGGAACTGTTTCAACCAAGCTGTACACAGTTTCATTTCTACTGTAAGAACGGACCTTTTATTTACATGGCTGCCTGAGGGGATTGACTCACTTTGAGGAACTGACTCTCAGGCTGCTGCTTGGTCTTTGTCAAAGTTTTATATTAAATGTCATGCGATGCAACAAAGAGGATGTTGGGAAAATTCAATCTACAGTGTTAAATGGATACATTTTGTATGTGTGCTCTGTGTGTGCTTTCCTACCCTTTCATCTCCCCCAGACGTGGATTAGTTCAGAGCAGCTGGGTTGCAAAGTGGTTTGCAGATTGAAAGACACGGGGCAGATACGGGCAGGCTTAAGCAGCTTAAACAACACAATCTACGTGCGAATTTGATGCATAGCCTTGCATAGCTTTGAGATCAGAGTGACATTGGCCTGGACTGCAGGTGGGTTTGACTTTGTGGCCTGCCTGAACTAATGCTCGATTTGGTAAGGCTTAATAACCCCAGGCACAGACGCAGAGGCACATGTGACACCACGCAATACTGCAACGCAATGGAAAATTTCTACAAAAGAGAAACAAGATGACGCCATTTGAACACACAAACCAATCAAACGAACGAAAAAAGAAACAACCACAAAGGAATCACAACGCTAAACAAATCAGCTAAACCAGACCACAACATAGGAACCCACAAACAACCCAAAGGACCACAGAGAGACACACAAGACAAAGGACACGAATCTACCACAAGGAGAAAATAATGTTTACATGTAAGCATACAAACAATCCAAAACAGATGTGCTTAAAAGAGACACGCAAAGTACCACACAATTAGATAAACGCCTTCAAATATTTACGAAACAAACAAACAAACAAAACATAAGCACACACGTAGAAAGCTTATGAAGCCTAAAGTCTAAATCTAATCAAACTGTAGATAATATATAATAAGATTTTCTTGTTTTATGCAACTTATGACCTTCATCATGAGGTTGTTGTGAGGCTTTGTTGATATCAGGGGACTTCCAAAGCTTCTGGATTTATCGTGTGGATTTTGGATGGAGGGGACTCTGATGCTGAGACAGATGCTGTCTGTGATATGTGGCTGAAATGTTTACAGAGCTTTTAACCAGATTTTTGAGAAAGCAGTGAACAATGAGTCTTCACACACAACCTTGTAGGAGCTCTGCAAGGTTGTTATGTAGCAGCTTGTCAATGGTGTTGAGTGTTTTTGGTTGAAACTGTCTGCAAATGACAAAGAACAAAGTCATAGTGCAGGCGATACTGTTATGCAGGACCGACATTCAAACAGGGAGCCCCAGAGAGACGACATTTAGGATGCATAAAGTGTAATTATAGCTCAAGCATAACTGACTTTCAGTTGTAATACATGCAGAATTGCATGCGTGTGTGTGTGGACGTGGTAATCACATGCACAGATGTGCGGTGCAAAGGTGAACATGCAGCGGTAAAAGCGATGGAAGCTCTTTGAGATCTTCTCCGCTCGTGGATGAAAAGCCTCTTTAAAAATCACACACCTCGACACACATCAAGGAGAACACACATGGACACGCAGACACACAAACACACATTCATTCCTCTGTTATTGTGAGGTTAAAAAAAATAATTTCAGCCAAATCCTATTTCTATAATCCTTTAAATTAACCTTGACTAACACTCCAAAATCCAGCCAGAACAAACCTAATGTAGCGCTAATCTCAAGCCTGAAGCTAATTTAATCAACTAACAATCAGCACGGGATGTTTTTAAAAAATTGTTGCTCAAATGAAATAAAGAGTTCTCGTTTTAGACATAAAACTCTAAAGTCCTGACATCTTAGAGGCTGGAGGAGGAAGTGCATTCAGATACTGAAAATTCTGACTCACACAAATTTTTCTCCCCTAAAAGTTCCTTTTGTTTTTTTGTAAAACTACACAATTCAGTATTTGTTAATGGCCTTTGAAAGTACAGGTCTTGTGCTCAAATCACTTAATTATTATTATTTTTTTTTAATTTGGTTGGATAAAACCTCCATTGTGAAGTTGCCACAGTGGGTGTCCCTGTGGTTTAGCAGGCGGAGCAGGTTAGAGGATTTTAGCAGGACTGTGATTTGATTCCTCCCTCTCCTGGTTCGCATGTCCTTGGGGATGATACTAAATCCAAAGGTCACCGATGTGTGTGACTGAAAAAGTGACAAAAGCAGTCCATTTTACTTTTGTGATAAAAAAAAGAACTATTTGCTGACATTTTGTTTTTAAAAACCAACATTCACAGTGTGATTCAGCTGATTTGGAGCATTATCCCCTCGACAGGTCAACCACAGAAAGACATTCATCTTCTTTGTTCTTTTTCCGCTCTCTTTGACAGATGGTATCTCACCCTACCAGTATCAGCTCCATACTCACAATCCACGCTCCCTCCTCTGCACATGTCGCAACCATGTCAGCCTCACTTTTCTAACTTTGTCTCCAAACCTGAGCTCAGCCTCTGATCTGCTTCTGGAGAAAAACTCTACCTTAATCAGCTAAAGTTGAAAATGCTGGTACAAACGCATTCATGAGTATTAATAATGAGCATGAATGAAAGTGATAAATAATAATTTCCTTTTTAATAATTGAAAATAAACCTTCTCGTTATGCTTACACCTTAATAAAAATAACCTTTCCAGTACAGGGATTGTACTTTTCATAGATGCACACAGTGGTTTTACTACATTTAGTTAAATATATACAGTTACAGTTGTGCCTGTTCTTATCATACAAGGAGGTTAGCATATTGATAAATGATGCATAAGAGCGCAAAGCCTGAGGCCCTCACCCATTTAGACACACCCAAAACACCTCAGCTAGGAGGCTTCCAGGAGGCATCTTAATCAGGTGTGGAGCCACCTCAGCTGAAGCCTTTCCAGTTTAAAGAAGCTCTGTGGATTGGGCAGCAGTTGAAGGCGGGGGCTTTAGTGGTGCAATTCCCAGTTACTTAAACTGGCTTTAGGGACACTGTATGTAATCTTAAAAATGCACCGACTGTGTTTCAGTTTTTTCAGGAGCGTTCAACAACACACAATGCTGCTACTTGTCTTAAAGTCTTTTCTTATTAATTCTTCTTCTGCTCCTTTTAGACGTGGCCACAGCGGCGTCTCATCTCCTCCTTCACTACAACCTTAAATCTTCTCTCTGGTCTTCTTCTTCCTAGCTGAACTATTTTGAACATTTCCAGTATATCCACTATCCTTCTGCACATCTAAACCCATCTCAGTCTTGCTGTTATGCTCAAAAGAGTAATGTTGAGACTAACACCAGAGTTTGTAGAAAAATGTGTTTTATTTTATAAGTATTTAATAAATAAAGTATTTAATAACCTCAGCTCAAAATGACAGCCCAGAGATCATGAAGGCATTGCTCAAACTCAGGCATGCTGTTTTCCACACCTTGTCAGGTTTAAGTGTCGACAGTTACGGCAACACCTAGACTCTTGGAATGCTGCTGGGGTTTGCAGAGGGCTGTAACACTCAACCTGAGCCGTCCCTTTGATTTACTCCTCTTAATTTTGTCCCTTCTGGTCACTCCCAGTGAAAGCTTAACACCCCCGGGTCGTCCCCTGTAACTCATACAAAGCTGTTCAAGTTGAGTCCAAGAATGAAATATTTTGCCTGAAATGAGCAAAATAGTTTAAGCAGAAGCTGTGAGCAGAACTTCCACTACTGTTGGAAACATTTGGTCCTCACAAAGATAGATGAACACACAAAAGCACAGGTCAGTGCGACAGATGAGGGCAGGCTGCCTGCTGTCAGCAGCAGGATTCACCCACAACTGCCGCTGTAATACACATCACACACAACACACACACAGACACACACACACAACACACACACACACAGACACACACACACAGCACACACACACACACACGACACACACACACACACACACACACACACACACACAAAAAATCTTAATTTAGGATTTTATCTTCTCCGTTTAAAGGAAACGCTGTTGGAAACTGGCTTATTTGTTGCATTACTGGAAAGTGTTCAATGCAGTTCTGTGCTACATTTACAAACCTTCATTTACGTCTTCTTTACATTTATTGTAATATATATTCAACACATATGTACGTAAAAGAAAATTTTTAGTGTGACCTCAAACATCAATCACAGGCCGATTTAGTTTTATCGCAGTAATTTCAGCTCTGCTGTGTACTCACTCGGCTGTTTTTGCACTTTAATTTCACAGAGATTACCTGCTGTACAAACAGTGAGGGCTGCGTTATGGTATTATATACATGGATCAAGGTCATATTGTTATCTCACTGTTGCAACACATACATCAGCTCTCAGGTGGTGTAAACGACAAAGGGTCAAACTCAGTCACTGCTTTATTGCATGACTCTTTTTATTGCATTTATTTGCTTTATGTGTTTATTTTAAGTGTGTTAAATGGAATAAATGCAGAGTCATTAATATTATTATAACTGTCTGTGCTTGGACATGCTTTGGAAACATTTTTATGCACAAATTGTACTTCAGATTGCAAACTACTGTACATATTGAGTAGATATTTATATTGAATTTGGCTGAGATAAAGAAATCAGAGTGTTAAATGTATGTTGGGTTAGACAGAGTGAAGTCCATTCAGGCAGTTTACATATTTGGTTCTCCTACAGGAATCTGAAGAAGCTTATTAAACAGCGTGAGCTGCTCAGAACAGAAGCTGCATTCACCGATTCTGGAAAACTGGCTGTTGCTGGTTTTTTTCCATTCAAAACCTGTTTGAGATGCAAGCTTTCAAAATGTGCAATATGCTAAACCTGCAGTGGTCACTCCTCCTTGGGCTGGTGCTCCTGCAGACAGCAGACTAAGCAAAAAGAGCAGCTTTTCCACTTAACTGTGAAGTGCTGCAGACTTACTTTTTAACTAAAAATAATCCTGCCATGCTGTGAAGGGCAGGGAACCTTGGCGTTACTTTTACACATTATTATTTATTTTAAGCAAATGAAAGGAAATCTACAGAAGTGAAATTTCCTTTGCAGCCGACTCTGTGGTTTTTCTGTAAAACTGGGATGTGAGAGTCAGCAGCCCATATGGGAACCTCTTTGTGACGTGTGCTTCAGAAGTGAATCACAGCTTCCTGACATCCACAGACTTTCCTGTAAGTCTCTGCTCTCCCTAAACTGATGCTGTAGAAACTTCAGCTTCCTGCTCCTCAGTCAGCTCTAGTAACTTTAAATAATTGTGTTGCTGTAACAGTGAAAGGAATTCATAAAGCATCAATCGATCACTCAGCAATGTCAGTGGGGGAGAGTATATTTACTTAAAAGCTTCACAGCCTAAATGTAAAGTCTCTGAGGTTTAATCTGCATTTTAAACTCATACAAAGCCACATAAGCTACTTTCAGCTGCTCCCTCATCACGAAAGGCCACGCAGCAGGCAGTAATATAATAGTTCTGTTCACGCAGACTAAAAGTAATTCATTTTTAGATGTTTATGGTTAGTGTTGTCTCTTAGGAAGACGGCTCCTTGTTCAAATCTGAAGCCTTTCTGTGAGGAGGTTGCATGTTCTCCCACAGTGCAGAGATATGCATGCAGTTCTATCATTGACCATAGGGTTGAATGATTGCCTATCACTGTGTGTTGCCCATGTGACTGACTGGCAATCATCCTGCCTCTCATATTTCATAAGTGATTAATAAAAAGTATCTTAAACCATAAAGCTGGATCTTTATGGTTTAAGTCCAGCAGCAACTGGTTTCCTTTAGGTACCAATAAAACCGTATGGCAGCTCTCCTCAGTCTGACCTTTTCTACCCTGTGCAGGGCCCATATCACATTTTAGCTGTTAGTTCTGCTGTGTATACAACACAACAATAGATACAGAAACCTCTTCGGCCAGCCAGTTTACATCGTCACAGTTTCTGTGATCTGTGATGTTAAAAAAGGCAAAATTTTCAGGCTCAAAAATACAAATTGGAGACATTCACAAAAAAAGAAAAAGCATCTGCACTGATTGGTTGGGCTTATGGTCATGTGGCTTCAGGCCCTCCCTCCATCACTGAGAAAACAGATAGCATCAAATCTTGAACTTAAACTGAATGGCTACGTTTAACGGGCTGTGTTTAGGAGTTTAACCCCTCTATGCACCCTGGAACTAGTGGAAGCTGTGAGAGACACTTTTTACTATTTTATTTGCCTCTTTATTTGTTCTAATGTTCTAGTTTTTCTTCATAATCAGAAGAAACATCTCATGGATTACTTTGCAACACGAATCAAGTAGACAAAGACATTTTTAAGCATAAATAGATCTGAAGCGTTGACTTGAACACCAACAGCAGGACGGCACATTCAACACATCTGCATTAAAGTCTTAAAAAGCAAAATAAGACACAAACAATAAGTCAGCTCTCATCTCATCTGCACTACTGGCTCAAACTGCCTCAGTAGGAACACACAGATCTAACAGCGAGTCTGTCTCACCCTCCAAACTTGAACTTGCTGTTCTCCCCGAGGAAGACATCCTTGTGTTTCCTGCGGCTTGAACTGCGGCCACCAGTCACCATGGCGACAAAGCTGACTGCTGCCAGAGCCAGGTAGGTGAGTACGTCCACCTTCATTCTTCACAGGTTTCCCTGCCAAAGCAGACACAGCTCTAACATCCCGACCATCTCTCCTCCAGTCCTGCTGACTAACGCTGGTCAAACATCCCACAGCAGCTGGACGTTTCCTCAACCAGAGACCTCCAGGACGTCAGTGAGATTTCCAACCAAAAACATGAGGAAGTTCCTGAAGTAGTCATGTGTCTCTGCAGCGTAGATCTCTGCAGCTCCCAAGTTTCCAGCTGAACATCCCAGCTCGATGATCTCCAGGAATCTTCTGCCTTCCCTCCAAATCATCCACTGCTCTCCTCTCTCTCACTTTCACTCCCTCTCCCCCTCTCTCTCTCCCAGTCTGTTTGTTTCTGCAGTTTTGTGGATCTCTCTATCCCTGATTAAAATCGATATGAATCTATTCCTCGCGGCGATAGAGGAATGACACTAATTCCACCCTAATCCTCTTATCTACAGCCACAGCAATCTTTCACTAACCTACAAACAGCCACACACATGCATACACGCACACACTCATCAGTAATCAGGATTTTCTCAGTGGGACAATGACAAAAGAAGCACGAGGTTAGCGCACACCTCCACTTTGTATAGGTGGAGTATTTGTGAGGGAAAATGAAGCACGGGTTTGAAAGCGGCACAAACAACAATAGCTCATCAAGCTCAGCCGCGGTTTAATCTGAGCTAGAGTGGAGGGAAATGTGTCTAATCCCGCTTTACCTACCGTCTTCCTCAGCTTACACCTCTGGAAGACATAATCCTGAACACACAAACGGTGCAGCAACACAGAAATGCACACAAACTGCATTTTTCAATGACGTGTTTTGGGTAATTTTTAAGCAACTTTTTGGAATTTCCTGCTTTGCATGGGAGTTGTCAAAGTTCAGTGATCTCAACATGACACATATCCTCTTACAGTTTCAGCAGGTCTGAAATACTCAAAAAGTGTGAATCCTAACATCACTATTAATAATGTTAATGTTCACTGCCACAGCAACAGGTTTTTAAAGCAGGAAGAGCACAAAATTAATGCTTCACTTCTCACAACATTTGTTCTCCTTTGATTTAATTAGACCGATTATTTTTAATTAACTCGAGCCATTTTGAGGAACTAAACTGTTTCAGTATCAGGCTGTAACCTTCTGTACTACAAAGTGAGATAAACGGGTTAGAGTAAAATTAGAGTTTCTGTCTCATGAAGGCTGCTCTATTTACCTGCCTGGCTAAATCACCATGGTTACACATCCTGGACACATAACCTGGCCAGAGCAGGCTATGTTCAGAGTTTTAAAAATGAGCTCAAATCTCAGTGTTTTCACAGATTATTTTATTCACAGTATGTTTTAAGTATGAGGCAATATGTTTTATATGTGCAAGTTAAGTGGTCCAAACTGTGCATGGCAAGAAAACCTGATCACTGAATAAAATAATTTCACTTTGATCTACAGTCAAACTAAAGTGAGGCTATGGGATGGTAACATTTAATATTTAAATGTATCCATGTAACAAACCAACAGCAGACCCAGGTGCACGTTCATGTTTTGCAGCATCTCTTTATTCATGGTTTGTTGTTCACACACTGTTAGCTGCAGCTCTCTCTCTCTGCCAGCTACACTCACTGAGAAAAACCTCCCTACTGCAGGACCCAGTACCATGTTTAAGTCGGCGAGCATGACTGTGGATGCCGTGCAGGTGCGTCTGCCTTCCCTGCACGGCACCACAAGCCACACCCCGCTACAATCCAATTTAAAGTTTCAAAGCTTTGAGTGTCTAAATCTACACAATCTCTTGTCTTATTTGCAACATGGTTTCATTTAACAGTTACATCTTTATTGTTATCATTATTTATAGTTTTTCTTTTTCTTTTTAAATCTTTTTATTTGCACCATTTTAAACTTTATATAGACTTCAAGTTAGGGGCGTGGCCACTTGTTTGACAATTATCATGTCACAGGCAGCTCAAGCCGGCAATTGTATTCTAGCGTTTGTCCCTAAACTGTGTTTGTGTTGTTAGTGCTTTATGGTGCCTCCAAAAAATCTGTGCTCTAGTGTTTGGTGAATGAAATTGTTGCATGTTAACAATCTATTACTGTGTGTTGCACCTGTACAGCGTATGGGTGCTAACCATGCTTGCACCACTATCTTGACCAAATTTCATCATTTCTGGTTCCAAAAACCCCAACCCATTGTGGTGGTGCCCAAAATACTAAAACCAGTGTGTGATGGCAGAGTGTCTGTGTTCGTTTTACATGCTGTATGGTTAGTGCATGTATGCAGCGCTCCCTCATTCTCCGAGGCATTACCACTGCAGATGGATCCACATTTCATTTTACGTTTCATTTTATACAGATTCCTCCCCTGAGGATGGGTTTTGTGTCTCCACGTCTCCACACATGGAAAATGTGTTAAAACTACATCATGGAGCTACGATCTATAATTAATGCTTGTGATAAAGGATAACAGATGTTATTAAAGTATGTTCAAGAAAGACTGGAGGACAAGGAGTAAGAATGAAGATCAACTAACATGTCACAGTACTGCGTCTGTGACCCAGGGTTTTGTGTTTATTGGTTAATTTATATTCTTAGATTATTGTCATTCATGGTTTTCTGCTTTGTTTATTTTTAGTTCCCAGGATTTCGGTTTCTGTTACTTTGCCTTCCCATGTGTTCCTTGTCTAGTCCCTTTTGTCTCCATGTCTCCCCAGTCAGTCGTGTCTCCATGTCTCAGTGTCTGGTCTGTTTTCCTCTGACGGTCCCATGTCATATGTCAGCGTATCTCGTTTCGCTTCTCCTTGTTTCTTCATGTGTAATTAGTCCCAGCTGTGTTTTCCTCTTGTTTCCCATTCCCTCATTACTTCCTTCCACATTTCTAGTTTCCCAGTGTTTTGTTTCTAGTTGTCATGCTCAGGGTTTTAGTTTGTTTTTTATGAGTTTTGGTTTATGGAAGATTTCCTCAGCAATAAAGCTGCTGCCTTAAGTTCACCTTTTTGTTTCCTCGTCTTTTTCTTGTCGCCCATCTAATATATGATTGGTTCCCTGAAAAAAGGCAAAAGTAGAACTTGAAAGTGGAAACACAATCAGGAAGAAACTGAGACTTGAGAACAGCTTTGGATTCCTTGTCTTAATAAAGGACTCGTGGACAGGTGGAGGAGCTGAGGGACAAACCGCTGGCACTGTAATTACACTCTGATCTACCAGCTGAGCCGCAAATGCCTGAAAAGATTCAGTCAGCCATAGCTAATGAGTTCCTGATAGAGGCGCATGAGAAAATTCCATAATGTCAAGGATGTCATTCATGTGGCACTTTTCCCACCCTGAGTTATCTCTGCTATGACAGTGAAAACAGGAAACACCCAGCCAACGGTGTTGTTGCACTGATGCATGGTAATGGAGTAAATACCTGCATGGGGGCGTTACCTGGAGTGGGGAGATGTGCTGCAAAGGACTTTGGAGTCATTACTTGTTTTATTTATACAATAACCATTATCTCATGATCATGTAGTACTGTCCTCTTCCAAGAACCACACGAGTCTATTAATCATTCCCCCCCTCCAACATTTAAAGCTGGTTGTTCTTAAGTGACTATTAATAGAATAATGAGCAATTTCAGTGTTTATAACATTTTTTAGTCCTAAAATTATGCTTCTAACATCAATATCAGAAAGCTAATTGGAATAACGTACCACTGAATGAACAGCATACGATAAAACATAAAGATGGTGCTGAATTTGAAGAAGGGCCCACTTTGAGACTCTCTGTGGATTTCCAGACACATTTAATTGCATTAACTAACAACAAACATGAGTGTAAGGACAGCTCTGCCTTCTTTTGCAGAATCTGATCTCATCTGAATCTTTTTTTAATCTAATCCATCACATTAAATCACATTCATCAACATTTCCATGCACACTCTGCATGTTTTAATGACATCCAATACTCACAATAAGATAAGATAAGATAAGACTTTATTGATCCCACAACAGGGAAATTTTTGCGTCACCTCAGCTCAGGTACAGATATGAGAAGGAAATACAAAAATACAAATAAGTACAATCAATGAAAAAAAGTAAGATAATACACTATATACAATGGTAGCATACACAGTATGTGATTATGGATATAGTTGGAAATATGGAAGACATAAACTATATAGCTTGATATAGCTATTGTACCACTACTATTCCTATTTATAGACATGTACACACACACATGTACACACTAAATATACATATGTATACATATACAGACATGGATGATCTGATATCCTCGTGTTGGTGTTGTTCCCAGACCATCATGAAAATGTTGTTCCAGGTTCAACATTGCAAGTGACCAATCACATTGTTGTGACGTTATTCTTTTGCGCGCCAAGCCATTCGTGCATTTATGAAATTCCAATGTTGCAAGGACAATGTCAATTCTGCCTACTGTTTATTAAAGGGTCAGGGTCCGTTGATCGGCGGACAGAGGTGGTTTCTCGCAGCTTTAGTACAGTTTTTTTTTTTAGTTTTTCCTGAAGTTGCAAAAGTATGATGTCACAACATTCCTGGAACAACATTTAGTATGATGATCTGGGAACAACACCAACACGACGATATCAGATGAACCGGATTATGCTATAGGCTAATTGCTGCCTGACTGCACTTGTTCACACATTTCGTCTGTGTAACTGTCCACAATGCAGATTAAGGTTTCTATTCGTAAATAGCACAAGAGATAAAGGAAAATAACTTTATCACCACTTATTACCACTTACCTGCCTTTATCCCATGAAACAGGAGCCCTACTCTACTGCAGAGGAGCTCGCTGTGCCGGTGTCCAGTTTCCAGGTGTGACTGTGAGTAAGTGTGTTTCTGGAAAAAGACAAGAGCACAAGTGTATCTGCAAACAATATTACTTAAAAGTACATTTAAAAGGGATTTCTTTCCACCTACATTTTTTAGCACTATGCTTCAAAATAATCTCTGTTTATCTTCTACTGGGCCTTGCTGAACCCTGTCAGTTTGACACATCTCCCTTAAAGCCAGCCTTGTTCTGATTGGCTGCCTCTCACAAACAGAACGTCATACAACATCATAAAGAGTCAAGAGTATAAAAGAACTGTCTGAAATCCAGGTCTGAGTGAAGCCCCTCAGTTTGTCCTGTGTCAGAAACAAGCTGCTTACCTCACGTCTTTTTAAGTCCATCCTCGTCCTCTGATTGGCCGTGGCTTACAAACAGAAGGTTTGAGCAGCAGGTGTGTGGGGTTCCTCTGCTCACGGCCACATCGCTCTTATTCCTCAAGCTTCATGCTTGCTTCTCTCCATCTCATCTAAACAGAACAGAAAGTGTGTGTGTGTGTGTGTGTGTGTGTGTGTGTGTGTGTGTGTGTGTGTGTGTGTGCCTGCCTGAAGTGGCCATATTAGGAAAATGGAGCATTTACAGCAGCCCTAAGACTCATACTTTGGATCACAGGGATCGCCTGCTCATACACTGAGATCATTATATGACTCTTTCATTTAACAAGAGCAATAAATGTAAATCCTGTGTCGCCCCGATGCTCTGTTTCGAGACTGGAGCCCAGAATTAGAAGCAAACATTCAGGGGCTGCACTGTAGCTTCTCTGTGTGTGTGTTTGCCTCAGCAGGTGTCAAACGGTTGGACGTT